ATTTTATATTCCAGCAGCCACGAAAAAGGCAATTGCAAAAATAGAATAACAACAACAATAATTGGAATTACACCAATACACCCATAGGAACATATGGAAAGAAGAAGAAGAAGAATAATGGAAGCACATCAAAAACCTGAGTCGTTTGAAACTTAAGAAGCTATGGGTACAAAGTTTAATTTGAAATGATCTTCAACTAAATTGGATTGAAAAATTAATTTCCTTTTGGAAATACCAGATACGCACACACACATTAAAAATGATCGGTTATGGTACTTGAGGTTGCCAGTATGAAAGTGACTAAAACTAGATACTTCAAAAACAAATATGAACCCTAATAGGAAATTGGACTTAATCAGAGTTTAGCAGAAGTTAATCGACTATAGTCTACTATATATCCGGACATCCGATTCTTCCAACATAGAAAACATTGCCAAAAATGATAGTAACATTTTTAAAAATCTAGTTTTTATGACGTAATACATTAGACACATACATAGACACATAAAAGGAACTTAAAAAATTTCAACAAGTAAAAAAAAAAACATTAAGTTCGGCCGGGCCAAACTTTTAATACCCTCCACCTTAGGGTAAAGGAAAAATTAGAAGAAATGTGGCAAAAACCATTAAAATGCCGAATATCGGGAGGTACCGTTATATGAGGGCTATACCAAAACGTGGACCTACACATGCAAGGTTCCGCCAACGGAGCTAGAACCTATTATGACCTACAAATACCAATTTTCAGACAAATACGTGAAAAAAATGTGGCAAAAATCATCAAATTACCGAATATCGGGAGGTACCGTTATATGGGGGCTATACCAAAACGTGTACCTATAATTGCAATGACTCGCCACACGAACTGGGACCCATTATGATCTACAACTACCAATTTTCAGTGAAATTCGTGAAAAAAATGTGTCAAAAATCATTAAAATACCGAATATTGGGAGGTACCGTTATATGGGGACTATACCAAAAAGTGGACCTATACATACAATGTTTCGCCACACGAACTAGGACCCATTATGACTCACAAATACCAATTTTTAGACAAATCAGTGAAAAAAATGTGGCAAAAACCATCAAAATACCGAATATCGGGAGGTACCGTTATATGGGGGCTATACCAAATCATGGACCCATACATGCAATGTTTCGCCACCGAAGCTGGAACCCATTATGACCAACAAATACCAATTTTTAGACAAATCCGTTAAAAAAATGTGGCAAAAATAATCAAAATATCGAATATCGGGAGGTACCATTATATGGGGGCTATACCAAATCATGGACCCATATATGCAATGTTTCGCCACCGGAGCTGGAACCCATTATGACCAACAAATACCAATTTTTAGACAAATCCGTTAAAAAAATGTGGCAAAAATAATCAAAATATCGAATATCGGGAGGTACCATTATATGGGAGCTATACCAAAACGTGGACCTATACATGCAATGTTTTGCCACACGTACAGGGACCCGTTATGACCTACAAATACCAATTTTCAGACAAATCCGTGAAAAAATGTGGCATAAATCATCAAAATACCGAATATCGGGAGGTACCGTTATATGGGGACTATACCAGAACGTGGACCGATATATCTCATTTTCAATACTAACCATCCTAGACACAATACCAATTGCTCTGCTAAATTTTGGCACTCTACGTCAAATAATGTGGGCTGTATCGTGATTTCAACATCGACTTAGAATTTTATGCTGATTATGAATATATATACTTTATGGGGTCTACGACGAATATTTAAGGATGTTACAAACGGAATGACAAAGTTAATATACCCTCCTTTCCAAGGTGGAGGGTATAAAAAGGAAAAAAATCCGTAGAAAATACCTTCCAAATGAAATCCCTTTTATCAGAAATAAATAATAATCGTCCTTCATAAGTAATTTTTTGTCAAAGGCTGCAGAACCCGTTGCGAACTTTAATTTATGTAATTCCGGTGAATAAAATACCGAACAATGAAAGGTTCCATTGTATAAGGACTATACAAAGACGTGGACCTGCATACACAAATTTCTGTCATAGATTGTAGGAACTTCAAATACGAAATTTGAAAAAAATTCCGGCGAATAATGTAGCTAAAATCATCAAAATACCAAATATAGAGAGGTACTGAAATAAAGGGCACTATACGAAGACGTGGATCTGCATAGGCAATTTTCAGTCACAGGCTGTAGTACCTATTAGGAACTTCAAAGAAGAAATTTGAAACAATTCCGGGGAATAATATCGCTAAAATAGCGTACGCTAAAATACCGAACATACATACATACCGAACATACCAAAATGTTACCAAAGACAATGACCTTTTTTCGAGTTGATGCATTAAAAGAAATAAATTTCTTTGCAATTTTGGGTTTTAAAAAAATCTCTAACTATTTCCGACAAATCTATCACTTCTTCTGAATTCGTTGCAAATTTGTTTTTTAAATTAACGGTCCAACAGCCAGAAGATTCCAAGTGGACTTGGTAGAAGCCGTTGGTAGATGAAACCCCCAAAAATAGTTTCGGTTTCTTCGGCCAAACGTTCTTAAGTCCGTCCGTCCGTCCGTCCGTCCGTCCGTCCATGTATTCTTGTGAACAAAATGCGGGGCGCATTTATTATCCGATTGAGATGAAATTTTTCAAACAATATTTGTTTGGCCCAAGGGCGAACCCTATTGAAATTGGTGATAATCGGATGAGATTTAGATGTAGATCCTATATATCTTCGACCGGTTTCGGGCTAATTGTGCACCAAATGGCGAGTATAAGTCCTAATGACTTATATTTTAGTACATACCACCGAATTCAGTTTAGAAGCAAGTACATCAAATTTGAAGAAAACCGGTTCAGATATAGCTATAGCTCCCACATATATGTTTCATACGATTTGGGGTTTTAAGTCCCTCACATGCGTTATATGCACTCCACAAGAATTATCTTTGGTACCAGATATCTTATCGAAAACGACTAAGATTTGGATATAGTCCATATATTTCCCTAATCCGATTTCAGGTTTATTGTGCAAATGATGGCTAATATTAGTCAAATTTCTGGACGTACACTCGGCTCCGATATATATTTTTATACCCTCCACCATACTATGGAGAGTATATTAATTTTGTTATTCCGTTTGTAACTCCTCGAAATACTCTTGATCATCTGTCTGTCCGTCTGTCTGTCTGTCTGTCCGTCTGTTGTAATCTCGCTATCTTTCGAACGAGTTGAGATAGAAGGCTAAAATTTTGCATACATGCATAGCTTAGCAGTAGGGCCACGTCAATCCACGTTTTCGTATAGCCCCCATATAACAGGACCTCCCGATATTCGGTATTTTAGTGATTTTAACGACATTATTTACCGGAATTATTTCAAATTTCATATTTAAAGTTCGTAATGGGTACTACAGCCTATGACAAGGTTTGTATGCAGGTCCATGTCTTCGTATAGCCTCCATATAACGGTACCTCCCAATATTCGGTATTTTGATGATTTTAGCGTCATTATTCACCGGAGTAGTTTGAAATTACGCATTTAGAGTTCGTAATGGGAACTACAGTGGGTGACAGAAAATAGTCTATGCAGGTCCAGGTATTCGTATAGACCCCATATATCAGTACCTCCCTATATTCGGCATTTTGACGATTTTAGGTACAATACTCACCGAAATTGTTAGAGATGTCGTATTTGAAGTTCGTAATGGATGCTACAGCCTGTGACAAAAAATTCTCTATGCAGGTCCAGGTCTTCGTATAGCTCCGATAGATTTTATCGGATTTTTTTTTTTTGAAATTTTCCAAATTCTTTTCATATGGTGAAGAGTATTCTGCTTTTTAACTTGTTTTAATATAATCCTTCTCCAAGTGATATCATGCACTCTATAGGAAACTATAACTGCTCTAAAGCCAAATGTTGATAGTTTGTATGATCTACTTGAAATAAATTATTTGGTTACGGGAACTCTACTAAATATGCATACTGGTTTAGGTTATCATATAGTCGTTCCCGCCCGACTTTTGAGTTTTCCTTACTGTTTTTTTTTTTTTTTTTTTTTGTAATAGTTTTTTGTATTGCACAGTTTTGTCATAGACTATGGGTATAAGTCTGTCGGAAAAGCGACTGGTACTTTCTAAGAGGTTTCTATTAATTTCGTTTACAAGAACTAACTGGATCCACAAAATCATAGGGGTTTACCCTTTAAATTTACCGCCACACCAATTCGAAAGACATTTTACGAGTTTCTCAAATCTACAGAGGAAGTTGTAGAACCCGAAAATTAAGATAAAATAGCATTCCATAAGTCTTTGGCACCAATAAATAGTAAATATAAATAAAGTAAATAAAGTATTTCGAAGATGTATTTATTTATATCCCAGCAGCCACAAGAAGTCGTTATTGCAGTCACATAACCAGAATTTCACACACACACACCAACATAAATACAACGTGGCATTACTAGGATGGATCTGTTTTAGATACCAAACCCAAGAAAAAAAACAACAACATTTCAAAATACACCAACAATAATTGCAATCCATTGTCATCTGATTCTTTTTTTAACAATTTGTAATTGGATTGAGTTTAAACTTTTTTCTATTTCTTCTCAATTTTTTATGATTATTCTTAGTAGGTATATTTTATCAATTAGAGTATAATTTTATTAAATTTTTTTGCACGAATGAAAAAAAAAACAAAATTTGTAATGAATATTTTATAAGTATTTTAAACGATTTACAATCAGGCTCTCTTATCTTTGGTGGACACTGTTGATTTTGATTATCTTTTTCGCGCTGTTATCTTTGTTGTCTTTCTAATAATATTTTGCTTTCATTTGCACTATTTACAATATTTGGAAAAATTGTGTCCAAAACACACACACACACATACACATTCGTTGCATTTTAATATTGTTTCCAATTAAATTAACTTCCCAAAATTTTTGTCATAATTGCCTTTTTGTTATAAATAATAAATTTCAACATACTTTATTTACTTTGTGTTTTTGCTTGCCAATTAAATCCACATAAATTTGAAGGCAATTTTCCACGCACGAAATGACTTTTAATTGAATGCAAGCGCCGATACAAATCGAATTGATTTTTTTTTTTTTTTTTGATTTTTGTTTTCGTTAAATTGATTGAATTTTTCGCAAAATTTATTTATCAGATCTTCTCATTTGATTTTCATCACACACTCACTGCCCAAACGAATTGGTTTTTTTTTCATTTACTCTCCACGCTCTGTAAATATTTTTTTTGTTTTGGATTTCCAATTTTTTTTTTATCTCACAGATACAAAATACGCGCACACCCGCTGCTGAACCGATATAACGAACAAAACAAACTGAACTGAATTCAAACAAATTTGAGAATGAATGCGAATGGAGAGAATGAACTCGTGAACAAGTTGTCGTTGCAACTCAAACATGTATGTCGAACATATTGACAATCAAACGTGCTGTTGAATGAAGACTAAACATGAGAAGGTGTATACGAGTTTTTGCTATTGTATTTTGTTAAACGAGCCATAAATGAACAGAAAGGTATTTTTGAGTAAATTTCTCACACCTAAAATATTGAGAAACTTGAGATCTTGGTTATAATAAAATTCTAAAGCTTTAAATACAGTGTACAGTAGCTCCAAGCGAAACTCGTATATCTAAAGGAAAATTTGTATTTTTCAAAATTTACCAAAAAAAATGTTTTACATTTTTTACAGTACCATAATAAGTATAATTAAAAAGCAAAAATCAACATTTTTAATTCATTTAAAGAAATAAATAAATAAATTTTAAAAGAGATGGCTTAACTCTAGTTAAGTAAAAACTCTTCAATTTTTTCGAAAATTTTTTCAGTGGTAGGTATTTTAACCATGATCCTGGGAAACTATTTTTTTCATGGGGGACGAACCTGGGACCTGGGGAGATTTTTGACCCGAAAGTCCGGGTTTGAGACCCCGACTAGACCCGGATCCACTATATAGACAATATGGGTATCGCTGGAAAGCTTATGAAAATACCTATCCAACATGATGGGGTAAGATGTTACGGTTCGGAAGTTATAGTCAAATTATCGATTTTTTGGACCCGGATTTTTTATAAAACCCCCAAAAAGTCAAAAAAGGGTCCATTATGGGGGACAACAAAATTGATGCCAAATTATAGCTGACACTTCTACCTTTCCAAAAAGGTTCAATTTGTGCTAATACCTTTACTGAGTCCAGAGATATGGGTCTTTCCATCCGCATAACCCGATTCTAACCAGTTCATTAAAACTATGTTTTCAATAAAAAAAAGGTATATTTTGCGTAAGAATGAAATTCAGAAATCTTTGGTTCGCGTTAGCCGGTGTAGGACATACCCAGAGGAGAAAATCTCAAGCCCCGGCCGAAGGCCGGCTACTTACAAAAGGTATCCAATTTAGAAAACTTTGGTTCGCGTTAGCCGGTGTAGGACATACCTAGAGGAGAAAATCTCAAGCCCCGGCCGAAGGCCGGCTATTTACAAAAAGTGCCGAAATTATGAACCTTTTGTTCGCGTTAGCCGGTGTCGGACATACCCATAGGTGAAAATCTCAAGCCCCGGCCGAAGGCCGGCTATTTACAAAAAGTGCCAAATTTAGAAAACTTTTGTTATTCCGACGACTGCTACGCGAAATAAACACTTTTTTTATTAAAAACATCATTGTAATGAACTGGTTAGAATCGGGTTATGCGGATGGAAAGACCCATATCTCTGGAACCGAAAAAGGTATTAGCACAAATTGTAGCATTTTGGAAAGGTAAGAGTGTCAGCTATAATTTGGAAACAATTTTGTTGACCCCCATAATGGGCTCTTTTTTGACTTTTTGGGGGTTTCACAAAAAATCCGGGTCCAAAAAATCGATAATTTGACAATAACTTCCGAACCATGACAACTTCATGTGACCACTTGTTGGATAGGTATTTTCATAAGCTCGATACCCATATTGTCTATATCGGGTAAGTGGATCCGGGTCCAGGCGGGGTCTTGATCCCGGACTTTCGGGTCAAAAATCTGGGGTCCCGGATCCGTCCCCCAAGAAAAAAATAGTTTCCCGGGATCAGGGAAAAAATACCTACCTCTGGAAAAAATTTCGAAAAAATCTAAGTTTTTACTAAACTAGAGTTGTTCCAAAGAGATAATATAATATTTGGCTTGGACCAAATTCGTACACATTGTATAATTTAAAGTACTTCTAGACATTAATATTTTCTATGCATTCCTTTACTTTTTTCCCATTAGTGGCCTATTTGGCGTACTTTTACGAATACATACCTTTACCAAGTTCTTCGCAAAAGCGAGGTTCAATTTTTGCCATTCTTCCAATGCACCCATCAACATACTTCATAAGCCTTGTGTTTCGGATCATTGTCTTGATAAAAATAATAATCTTCGCCAAGACCGAGATTTTCCTTACAGAGTGGCAAACTTTTTTTTTTAAATCTTAAGGTACATAGTCTGATCTACAATATTCACAAAAATAAAATAAAAGTCCAGAGGCACTTCACTTTACAAATAAAAAACAGTAATATATATATATATATATATATATATATATATATCTGTAAAAGTACGCCAAATAGGCCACTAATGGGAAAAAAGTAAAGGAATGCATAGAAAATATTAATGTCTAGAAGTACTTTAAATTATACAATGTGTACGAATTTGGTCCAAGCCAAATATTATATTATCTCTTTGGAACAACTCTAGTTTATATATATATATATATATATATATATATATATATATATATATATATATATATATATACATATATATATATATATATATATATATATATATATATATATATATATATATATATATATATATATACTAGTAAAAAATAATCGATGGAATTGGAAATATTTAATTTTGTTTTTGGAGTCGAAACGGAGTCGGAATTACTCAAAAATATGGCTTCATAGTCTGGTATAAAATGGTTCGACCCCACAGTCCTGCTAATTTATAGAGTAAAATTTGTTTTTCTTTATTTTTTTATTTATTTGTGTATTAGAAGAAATAACATAGTATCTTCGTCCAGAAGATAACTTCGTAAAGTTATAAAGGAAACCGTGGATTTGTATTGGTGGATTTGTATTGGTAATTTCCTGTCATAGAAAGTAGTACCCATTACGAACTTCAAATACCAAATTTAAAAAAAGTCTGTCGAAAAATTTCGCATAAATTATTAAAATACCGAACATTGTTAGATACTGTTATATGTAGCCCAATGTAGAAAATTTTCTATTCCAACTTTAAAATGAATCCGTTGAACACTGTCCCTAAAATCATCAGAATACCGAATATAGGTGGTACCCTTATATTGAGGCTATCCGTAGACTTGAAACTGCATAGAGAATTTGATAATAATAATAATACCTTTTACGAACTCGAAATTTGAAAACAAAGCCACAAAATACCGAATATCTGGGGGTACAGTTATTTATTTATACCAAAGTTTAGTTTATACCAAAACTTAAATATATATTTAAAGTGATTTTCACAGACGGATGGATATGGTTAAATCAACATAGAATCTAATGATGATGAAGAATACATATAAATATTTATATATGGTGGATGGAAAACATAAGATGTTACAAGTTAAACAAAAATATATATTAAAATATTTTTTCCGTTTTAAGTCCCTCTAATTCGTAATACGCATTCGACAACAATGGTACCAGACATCATATAGAGCTTGGATATATCTTTCCCAAATTTTATCGAGAACGGCTAAGATTTGGATATAGCTCCCATACATATTTTTAATCCGATTTCAGGCCGACTTTTGACTTTTCCTTATTGGTCTCTTCATATATTTATGAATAATTTTTTATGCATTGCTTGCCAACACTTACCAACTCAATAACATCCCAGTTTGAATTAATATTTGACCGCATGGAAGAACTATCGCAATTCTCAAAACTATTGTTCACTATACCAATGTTGTACTGGAACAGTCCTTACGCCTTGATACCTCAAACTTTGAGGTGGTTTTGGAGGTTGCAAGTTGAAACACTTAATATTTGAAGCTCATACTCATACTCATCCTCATATGTTTGTCATCGTTTGTTTTGTGCAAATTTAGTCGAAGTTATTCACTTCAAACACAACACAACATGTAGTAAATGAATCTCATTTTTATTTGTTTATTATTGAAAGAAGTTGCAAGACAACTTGTTGCGCATCTAAGAGTTTTGGTGTTACCATGTGGAGCATTAAGGATAAACTATTGTATTTATATCCCTCAGGAGGAAAATAAGAAACATTTTTGAAACACATATCTTTTAAGTTCAGTTGTCAGCGAGAATGATAACTATTATTAATATTTTAATAATTAATTAATATTATAATAGCTTCCACATCTATATATTAGCTAAGATAAGAAAAGTGACTAATAGAATAGTTATAAAACAAAAAAATGAACAGAAAAGCCACAAATGGAAATCTAATCTAATATCTAATCGGCAAAAATAATGGCATTTTATGGAAATTACAAGTTGAGCTAATAATCGCTTAAATAAGTGAATTTCTACATAAAATGCAATAAATACAATCGGGTTTCTCTGTATTAAATTTCCTTTGACGAACTTTTCTCTATAACGAAATAAAACTGAAAACACAATTTTTCAAGCGACCAAAATTCATATTTTTGAATGGATCCAGTTGTGGGTTTTGTGATTATTTGAAAGGTTTAACTGACTATTCATAATTTATTTATTTAATTATTTTATATTTATTCCCTCCCTGATGGGTCGCCCTCTTTGCTTTTTATACCCTCCACTATTCTATGGGGGGTATATTCGTTATTCCATTTGTAACTCATCGAAATAATAACTTTGGACCCAACAATGTATATATATTTTTGACCAGCGTAAAATTCTGAGACGATTTAACCCTGTCCGTCTGTTGTAATCACGCTAGAGTCGGAGCGAATAAAGATAGGTAGCTAAAATTTTGCACAAATCAGTCTTTTGTCCGCAGGCAGGTCAAGTTTGAAGATGGGGTATATCGGTCCACAAAATCGTATAGCTCCCATACAACGGAACCCCCCGATATTCGGTATTTTCATGATTTTAGCCACATTTTCCAACGGAATTGTCTGAATATCCACACAAGGTGTTATTTCTGAATACCTAATCCCCTGGATAGGTAGAGAATAAAGATAGGTAGCTAAAATCTTGCACAAATCAGTCTTTTGTCCGCAGGCAGGTCAAGTTCGAAGATGTGCTATATCGGTCCACAAAATCGTATAGCTCCCATGCAACGGAACCCCCCGATATTCGGTATTTTTATGAT